AAGGCAGTCGCTTAACCAACTGAGCCACCCAGGCGCCCGGGAGTTCTATTTCTAAAGGGAAAGGGGGTGTGACATTGAGGGAAACTCACAATATCTGCTGTGAATGGTACTGGAAGAAGTAAGCAAAGGGGTTCATGGGAAGGGAAAGCAGTTGCAGCAGGCTCACATGTGACGCCTCCCGGGCCTCTCTTCAGGACCCCAGTGAGGATGAGCCCAACATCCGAGTCCTCCTGGAGCACCGTTTCTACAAGGAGAAGAGCAAGAGTGTCAAGCAAACTTGTGACAAGTGTAACACCATTATCTGGGGGCTCATTCAGACCTGGTATACGTGCACAGGTAGGCCAACACCCAGACCTGCTTTGTCGGGGGGCAGTCCTGGTCCCCGGGCAGGGCAGAGACCTGGCAGCTCTGGGTTGTGTTTGGGTGCCTTCTGCGCAGTACTCAGTATTTACTGAGCCTTGTGGCCTACCTGGGATGAAACAAGGGACAAAAGACCCAAACCCCTGCCTTTACCAGGCTCACATCCACATTTGGCTTTCTAGTATGCCAGAGGTGGCTATTCAAATTTAAATTAGTTAAAATAAATAACTACTTCATTCCTTAGCTGTGCTATCCCGATAGCCATATGAGGCTGGTGGGCACCATATGGGGCATTTCCTTTTTTTTTTTTTTTTTAAAGATTTTATTTATTTATTTGAGAGAGCGAGAATGAGAGAGAGTACATGAGAGGGGGGAGGGTCAGAGGGAGAAGCGAGCAGGGAGCCCGATGCGGGACTCTATCCCAGGACTCCAGGATCATGACCTGAGCCAAAGGCAGTTGCTTAACCAACTGAGCCACCCAGGCGCCCGGGACATTTCCATTTTTGCAGAGAATTCCTGTGGATGGTTCTGTTCCGAATGAGCATATGGTGTGTTAGACAATAGAGTGCATTGACAAAAAAAATAAGGAAAGGGAACAGCATGGGTCAGGGAGTGTTATGGGTGTGACTTTAGGGTGGAATGAAAAGGCATCATGTGACATTCAAGCAAAACTTGGAAGTCAGGGAGTAAGCCAGGAGTATATGTGGGTAAGAATGTTCCTGTGAGGGAGTTCTGTGCAAAGGCCCTGTGGCTAGTGTGTGTCCAGTGTCTTCAGTGTGGAGCAGAGAGAAGTCTGGCTGGGGCATTGTACCCGAGAGGAGGTTGGTCGAGTGGGCTCAGAGGTGGCCATGTGCTTTCCTTTAAGTGCACTGGGGGCCATGGGTCGGTGCTGGACATGCCTAGGTTTTAAAAGGACCACTCTGGCCGCTGAGCTGAGCATGGACTGAAGGAAGGAGTGCAGAGGGGGAGGGGGAGGATGATGGCCCTCTGATCAGGATGGAGTCTTTTGGGTGAGAAGTGTCCAGGTGCGGCACTAGCCGAAGGGCTGGAAACAGGCATAAAAGAGGGGTTGAGATGATGTTACAAATTTTAGCCTCAGCTGGTGGGAAGATGGAGTTACTGAAATCTGAGGCGGGAAAACTGTGCGTGGGAGGTGGGTTTGTTAAGGAAGAGCGAGAATTTCATTTAGACAGAATGAGTTTGATGCCCTTGAGGCATCCAGGTGGGAATGGCAGGTTTTGGAGTTGAGGAGGGAGGTCTGCATGCACCCCCAGGGCAACGCTTGGGATGGGGACTGACAAGGTCTTTGAAGTTCTGGGACCTACAGTGGGGCCTTGAGAAGCTCTCAGATTGATGTGGGAATTGGGGTAGAGCTGAAGGCCAGTCTGGGCTGCAGCATGCCCCCCACTTCTGAAAGGCACAATGTTGGTCTCCTCACCCCAGGCTGCTATTACCGATGTCACAGCAAGTGCTTGAACCTCATCTCCAAGCCCTGTGTGCGCTCCAAAGTCAGCCACCAAGCCGAATATGAGCTGAACATCTGCCCTGAGACAGGGCTGGACAGCCAAGATTACCGTTGCGCCGAGTGCCGGGCGCCCATCTCTCTGCGTGAGTGCCCCAGGAAGGATCGGGGCACAGGGCGAGGGAGGCTGCTTTGGGCAGGTGTAAGGAAGTTGGATACATCAGACAGCTAGGGACAGCTGGGCTCCTGTGGGTGGTGTCCTGCTCTCCTTCCTTGGGACGTGACAAGGGGCTGCGACCTGCACCCTTTCACTTGCCATTCGAGCACACTGAGGTTCCAGCCCAGGTCACCTAGGGGTTCCCACAGGGCTGGCCTGCACTCAGCCTCCCATGTGGCCCCATTGACACAGAAAGCCCACCCACATGGGAAAAATCGCACAATACCATTCATGTGCCTCGTGTCGTAGATTTACTAATGTTAATTCATGGGGTCCTCTCAGCAGTCCCGTGGTGTCATTTTACTGATGACCAAACTGAGGGTAGCAGGGTGCCCTGATCTGCCTCAGGTCCTGTGGCTGAGAAGAGGTTGTGTCCCGTCTGCAGGGTGGCACCTCCCAGGTCAGCTGCCTCTTTCCCCCATATGCTTTCCGTGCTTTCTGTGGTTCCTAAGCTGTCAGGGACCCTGGAGGCAGCCCCGACTTGTAATGACCCGTCCCGCCTGCAGGGGGCGTGCCCAGCGAGGCCCGGCAGTGTGACTACACCGGCCAGTATTACTGCAGCCATTGCCACTGGAATGACCTGGCCGTCATCCCCGCGCGAGTCGTGCACAACTGGGACTTCGAGCCGCGCAAGGCAAGGGCAGGGGAGCAGGGCCCAAGGGCTGGTATAGGGGCTGGGGGGCAGGGAAGGGGCTGGGAGGGGAGGAGATGGAGCCCCAAGGAGGGAGAGCCGGTGCTCGGCCCTGGCTTAGGTTGGGGGGAGCATGGTTCTGGGGGTGGCGTGAGTAATGCCGGAGGTGCCCCTCCACCATGCCCCCCAGGTGTCCCGCTGCAGCATGCGTTACCTGGCGCTGATGGTGTCTCGGCCGGTTCTCAGGCTGCGGGAGATCAACCCTCTGCTGTTCAACTATGTGGAGGGGCTGGTGGAGATCCGGGTAAGGCTGGAGGGGGCAGGGGTGAGGGTGGACCTTGCTCTCCCTGTGTGCCCTGGGAGCAGAGGAGAGCTGCCACCTGCTAAGGTTCAGGGGGCCCCTCAGCTGTCCTTAGGGTTAAAGACCCTAGAGCAGTGTCTGGTCACAATATGATAACTAGGCCCAGAGGCAATTTGAAATTTTCTAGTAGCCACATTAAAAGAGTAAAAAGCAGGTAAAGTTCATTTCAATAGTATATTTTATATGACCCAGTATATCCAAAAGATTATTTCAGGATAATCAACATACAACATTATTCTTTCTCTTTTTTTGTACAACGTGTTTGAGGATGAGTGCTCCTCTGGGGGCCGAACTTGAGTTTGGCTGGAGCTCTCAGATCTGGGACCATCCTGGGGGACGTGAAAGCACCGTCTGTCCCCTCCTGACCTGGAGTGCCAGCCCCCTCGGCCCCCAGATGTGCCACGGCGCAGCCCTGCCCTGGCTGAGAATACCGACCTGCCCCTGTTGTCCACAGAAGCTGCGCCAGGACATCCTGCTCATGAAGCCGTACTTCATTACTTGCAAGGAGGCCATGGAAGCTCGTCTCCTCCTGCAGGTCAGGCCCCTGGGAATCCGGGGGGTGGGCAAAGGGGAAGCGGAGAGCCAGGGCAGCGAGGACACGCTGTGCCCAAGTCTTTTTCCGATGACGTCATAGCTTGCGTGTGCTGCACTTTAGCAGAGGGTCTCCCCTGCTGTGTTCCAAGGAGCACTAGGTCTTCAGTGAGCACACAGGCATTCCATCCACAAAAGTGTTCTCTGGTTCCATCACCAAAGGAAGCGGCTATCGCCCTGCAGCCCTCACCTGGGTCTCCATGTAGTGGACCAGGCACAGTTCTGCGCAGGCAGGGGTGCCCACAAACACACTTCACGGCTCACCTGTTTGTTCCACAAACATTCATGGGTATTCACTGTTCTAGAGCGTAGGGAACAGGGAACAAAACCGGCAGGAATCCATGTCCTCACTTCAGGTGGGGAGAAAAACAAACAGTCAGGGGGAGGTGAGGTCTGTGGACAAGATAAAGCAGGGAAAGGAGGTTGTTAACAGGGTGAGGCCCGGGAGGAGGTATGGCATGCTGGGCAGAGGGTCGGGGGAGGGTGCCTGGAGCAAGAAGGTGGCCAGTGTGGCTGGGGGAGCGCGGTGCTCGGCCCAGAGACCGACACCTTCTCTTGCTTCTGTGAGCCCCCAAGGGCCTGGAGGATGGGAGTGTCAGTGGGTGGGCAGCGGAAGGGGCCCTCACCCGGTGTTTGGGGTCATGGTTGCTGGGACCCACAGCTCCAGGACCGGCAGCATTTTGTGGAGAACGATGAGATGTACTCCGTGCAGGACCTGCTGGACGCGCACACAGGCCGCCTCGGCTGCTCACTCACGGAGACTCACACGCTCTTCGCCAAGCACATCAAGCTGGACTGTGAGGTGGGCTCCCTGCCGCAGACCAGGGGGCGTCTCTCTCTCTGCTCCCAGTCCCCAGGGCAGGGCGGGCGGGCAGGCCGCTTGGCCCAGTGTGTCCTTGGCTCAGGTGCCCTTTGGAGCAGGCACTGACCCGCCCTCCGCCCTGTCGCCCCCAGCGGTGTCAGGCCAAGGGCTTCGTGTGTGAGCTCTGCAGAGAGGGTGACGTACTCTTCCCCTTCGACAGCCACACGTCCGTGTGCACCGACTGCTGTGCTGTCTTCCACAGGTCAGTGTGGCCGGACCCACCCTCAGCCAGGCGTGCTGGCTCCCCAGGCGCAGGGAGGGGGAGACAGGCTTTTGGTCGTCTGTCTTTGCTGCCTGATTTTCAAAGCCCTTTGCCTTGATCCTAGATACGGGGTGAGACCCTGATCTGTGTGACTAAAGTCGAGGTTCCACCGGGGACAAGCCCCTGTGGGGCTGGGGAGGGGTGCGGCCCAGACCCCAGGTTGCACATGGTGTCTGACTGGCGCCCCTTCCCCACCAGACCTGAGGTGTAGTGGAGGCCAGAGGTCCCTCAGCTTTCTAGCTCCTGGCACCCACAGTGTCTCAGTGATTTTTTTCAAATATCCCTAGGCCAAAAGAAATACCTAACATTTTTTATTAAGTACTTAGGTTCAAACAGTGTAAGCATTTATGACAGAAAGACCTAGTGGATGTTTGGAAAAATAGTACAGTTACTAATTGTAGATGTGCACCTGCTGGGCCCTGCATGATGCCTCACACTGGATTCAGATGGGCACCTCCCATTTCTGCCCACGTGGATTTTTGTTGGGCACTTGCTGTCCGTCCTAGCAAGCACTGACGCTGCAGCCTGGGACGGCTGTCACAGAAAGGACTGTAGCGGAAGCGATGCTCCAGCCGTGGATTCTGTGGACCAGCAGTCCCCAGGACCCTGTGCACCCCCAGTGCCCCAGTGGAGGCTCTGTGCAGTGTTGGTAAGAACAGGTATGGAAGCTGAGACACTGAGAGCTCCAAGCAGAAGTCGGATGGTAACCAGCTAGCAGGTGTGGACCCTGTAGGAGGGGCCTGCACTGAGCACTGGACCCCAGGCCTGGGTGCACCTGGTGCAGACCTGGTTTCTGCCCTCTGGGAGAAACTGCGTCTCTTTCCCCATCCGTAGAGGGGGTAGAAGGGCCTGACTTAGGAAGTCTGGGAAGGCTCAGCGGTAGAATTTCACATGCAGAGAGCCCAGACCCTTGCTGGGGCTGACCCCACCCTCCCTGTCCCCAGGGACTGCTACTATGACAACTCCACCACGTGTCCCAAATGTGCTCGGCTCACCTTGCGGAAGCAGTCACTCTTCCAGGAGCCTGGTCCAGACGTGGATGCCTAGAGCAACAGGAACCCCTCCCAGGCCTCTCTGGCATCCAAACTGCTGGTCATTGCCAAAGTCAAGGTGTTTCTTGTGTTCTGGAGACCCCTAGGGTGCAGTCCCTGGACCTCTCACCTGTGCTGGGCCAGAGGGTTGTAAGCAGCACCATGAGGACCGTCGTCCCTCTCCCAGGCACTTGCTGGGACTTGGGGCAGTCTCGCCTGGCTCTTTCCTGGGTGTGTTGCTGTGGAGGCTGCAGGGCTCCATAAGCAGGGAAGTGGGGAAAGGCTTCTCCCCACCCCCTGTGGCAAAGAGCCTTGGGGAGGCACTTGGGGCCAAGGCCGCTGGGCTTTGGCCACCCTGAGAACCCCCAGAGGGCTTTGGGGGAGTGGCCGACGAGCCTTGGGAATGCTGGCTGCAGACACCCAGGCTGGGCCTGAGTTTTCTCTGCAATGGATGGTTTGGATCTACCTGGAGGACCCCATCCCCTTGGCCCCTTGTGTGGGGACTTGTAGTTGTTCACGACTGTCTCCTGAGGGCCCTGCTCCTGCCTCTCAAAGTTCTCTCTGGGTTCTCCTCCAACAGGGCCAGTCCTGGAGGTTCCCACTTCTGTACAACATGGAGGGAAGGGGGCTGTGAAGCTCTTCCCGGTGGACCAGCCCCTGCTCTGGCCTTTGCTCTCCCAGCTTACGGTGGTGCTCTAGGCTGGGTGGTTGGGGGTGCCGTTGGAAGAGGCTGTCCTGCTTCCCAGTTTGGAGCAGGGACTGTGACCCTGGGGGAGGTTCTAGGTTAGGCAGCAGGGTTGGCTGCCATCGGCCTGTTTGCCTGAGGAGCTCCATGTGCCAGTGGAGGGCTCCGGACAGCTCACAGACCACCACCAGCCTGTGGCCTTTTGTCTGGGGGCCTGAGGCCAGGCACTGGGAATATTTGCTCAAGGGAGCTTTGGGCAGGAATCCCAGAGCATGTGCAGGAAGACTGGGGCATGGGATGTGGAAGGTCCTGTATACCAGCTGACAAATGGAACCCCTGGACAGAGCATAAGAACCCACAGCACTTCACCGGGGGAGCGTCGGCCTCGGTGTTTGCAGGGATGCTTCGTGCTTTAGAGACCCTGCTATAGAGGGGGTGGCCTGTGGGAGCAGGACGTTTCTGGATGTGGCTCTCCAGTCTTTTGTGCCCTCTTGCCCGGATTGTGCTTGGCTGCTGATGTGCACAGTTGACACGCGTGGGTGGTGGTGGTGGAACAGAGCCACTTGGATATCCGTCCGCTGCGACCTGCAGCGGAAAGGTCAGCCTAGCTTGCTGGCCGATAAGAGGGGTGGATAAAGACAGTGTCCCCTCCTCCTCGCTTCTCTGCACCATCAGGAAAGCCTCACATGGTGGCTTTAGGCGGTCCTCTTGCGGTGTGTTCTGATCTGCCTCGGGGAAACAGTGCGAAGCAAACACTGGTGAGGTTGGGTCAACGGCAGGTCCCCGTCCTGCTTCCCCTTCCTCTCTAGGGCTGGAGAAGGACTTAAGGGCCAAACGCCCTTTTCCTGCACCCCCAGATCTGCACATTTCTCACCACTGCATTACATTTCTGTCATAAGGATATTGGCCATTCCTGAATATACTGTGTAATGAACATCACATTATTCCAGTTATAATCACTGTGTCCATAGGAAGCGTTAATATGCTGGCATCTGCTGGACGAAGAGTTGGCTCCCTTTTCTTTTTAACTGCCTCCATTTCCTCCTCCCCAGTATCTCCACCTACCCTTTCTGAATGGCAGAGTCTTTAAACAAAATCATGTGTGGGTCTTGGGAGTCCACAGTATGGTACAAGAACCCACCGAAGAACCAGTTTGCATGGCCAGCCCTTCACAGAAGAGCAGTAGGGATATCTAGCTGTAATAATGCCGCAGCTGCTGTCTCATTAAATCTGTGTTCTCTAGACTCTGGTGCGTGTGGTGAATTGGGGACAAGGCAGGGTTTTTTGACATGCAGACCAAGTGCAGGCTTAGGGAAAGCCCACAGTCTTCCCCATCTAGTGGGGTCCAATGTGATCTGTTCTGGGGAGGAGTTCTTGATGGGTGTCAGACAGAAGGCTAAGTGTGTGGATTCCCCTCAGCTCAGTTTCTGTGAATGATGAAAACACATACCTTGTGGGGTGTTTACGTTCTAGGAAGCATTGAGCACTGAGCCTGGCATGCAGAGAATGCTCAGTAAATAGAAACTGTGTCTTCTAGAGTCCTCACTGTGGAAGGATTATCTCGTTCACCCAACGCAGTCATCGAGAAACTGGCTGGTCATGCAAGTCACATGTCCGGCTCCTGGCAGCCTCTTTCACAAGCTAGACCCAAAAAGGGCCCTCACTGCAACTCCAGACCATTCCCGTGGGCTTTGGGAGAACCATAACTGCCCCCCTCCCAAATTACATCCAAGCCTCTGTATATGCACATTCTTTTCAGAGATATGATCTGCAGTTGTGACCAGGATCTCAAAGGGGCCATGACCCAGAGGACATATGCAATCTTCTGCTTTAGAAGGTGTCTTTATACATCATCCACACCCAGTTGCAATTCAGATAGGCTGATAGACTGCAACTCTATGCCTAAAGAAACCGGAGAGCTGGAGGGACGGTGTGGAAGGGCTGTCTGTGGGCCTGATGCCGGCATGTGTGAGCACACACCTCCAGCTACAAATAACTGTAAAGCTACCCTTCGGATAGTCGATGAAAGATGAAGTATGTTTTCCCTCTCTTTCAGGTGATGCAATAGTATTTTTACCATTTATATTTTGACAAATTTAGGTTTACAGAAACACTGCAAAAACATTCCCATATACTCACCTCCTGGACTCCCTAAATATTAACATTTGCCCCATTTGCTATATTCTTTCTTCCCATATGCACATTTCTTTTTCTGAGCCATTTGGCAGTAAGTTGCAGAGGTGATGCCCCTTTGCCTCTAAATACCTGTGTCTGTTCCTCCCAAACAAGGACATCACATGGCCACAGTTCAATTATCCCCAGAAATTAACACCAACATGGTATCATAGAATCTACAACAAAATTTATTCAGATTTTGCCATTCAGCTGCTACGTGTATTTAGCCGTTTTTATTTTGGAAGGGTACATGACATGGATACCTTTAAAAAACACAAGCTAATTGTTATTTTTTGCCTAAGGTTTTATTTGAGAGAGAGAGGGCACGAACAGGGCGCGGCAGGCAGAGGGAGACGCAGACTCCCCGCTGAGCAGGAAGCCCGATGTGGTGCCTGATCCCGGGACCATGACCCGAGCTGAAGGCAGACACTTAACTGACTGACCCACCCAGGTGCCCCTTAAAAGAAAGCTTTATAAAAGGCCTGTCAGATATCCCCCTCCCCTCTCATTCCTTTGCTCCTTTCCACTCCTTCCCCCTACCAGGTAACCAATCCCTTTAGTCTGGTTTCTCCTTCCTGTGTTTCTTTTTGCAAAAATGAGTAAGATACATATATATTTTATTTCCTTCCCCCTTCTTTCTTCCACAAAGACGGCAGCATACTAGTCTCTTGCATGTTGCTTTTTTCAATTAAGAGTATACCCTGGAAACCACTCCCCATCCGTTCTTCCTCTTTCATTAGTGTTTCATCACTTACATCTAGATTATAGTCCATTGCGTATAATAGCCATTTCATATTTGAACACTCTTCTATAGATGAATATTCAGGCTGTCTCCTCACTTTTGCAGTTACAAACAAGGATGCAACAAATAATCTATGCACATGCATTTTCTTTTGTTGGAGGTATATCTTCAGGGTACAATCCTAATAGTGGGATTGTTAAATCAAAAGAAATCTGTTTTTTGTGAATATCTAGTGTCCCTCCATAAGGGTTGTACCAATTTGCTTTGTACCATCAGCAATGCATGAGGTGCCTATTACCCCAGAGCCTCACCAACAGAATATGTAGTCATACTTTCTGATTATTTGCCTATCTAGTGAGATGTGTTTTCTGTGTAGCTTTAATTTGAATTTCTCTAATTATGAATGAGGCTGAACTTCTTTTCCTATGCTTCAAGATCTAATTTATTTATTTGTGAATTATATCCTTTGTCCACCTTCCTGTTGGGATTTTTGGTATTTTTTTCTTCTTAATCCTAAGAGTTCTTCACATATCAGGGATATTATGTTGCAAGTATTTTCTTTCAGTTTGTCAACTGCTTTTGCCCTTGTTTGTAGTGATGTTCCCCCATTGGAAAAGTTCTTTTGTTACTTTTTTTTTTTTTTTTAAGATTTTATTTATTTGACAGAGAGAGACACAGAGAGAAAGGGAACACAAGCAGAGGGAGTGGGAGAGGGAGAAGCAGGCTTCCTGCGGAGCAGGGAGCCCGATGCGGGGCTCGATCCAGGACCCTGGGATCATGACCTGAGCCGAAGGCAGAC